TCCAATATTGCTATGTACAGGATACACTATCCTTTCGTTCAAACTGAATCTGACATTCATCATTTTAAGTTAAACATTCTTCACGAAACAGAACCTCGAGGGAACAAACACGATGGCATAGTTATCTATACTAACTTCGTACGAATATACGACTATATGTAGTTTCTAGTTCGCTTATCTCAAGCAACAGCTGGTACTTCAGCTAGTAATGCATAACATGTCATTAGTATATGTATAGATTTACTTACAGATTCAACAATTACTCATACTTAGTATGTAATCTACAGTCATATAGCGGTTTGTTTTTAAGAATAATTTTCGCAATTCATGGTATTTGCGTACGACTGAGTACGACTTGGATAACGTGTCTGTTCATAATTTGTTATTTCTACTTGTGTTGATGTTTTTAAGTGTTAAATATAACATTGTCTACTTTTTATTAAACGTATAATATTCCAACTAGTTGGAACCAGTTGAAACAAATAATACCAGAGTAACGTCAGTGAATAGAAACGTCCAACACAAGTAGAAATAACGAGTAATGGACAGACGCGTTAGGCGAGTCATACTGAATCGTGCACGTTGTTACATATCATTCGTGTATGGGACTGAAACGTTTGGTGACTTGGGCGTTGGCCCGAGCATCTAGCGTACAACCCTTTGAACGGGGTTGACTCATGCCGTATGTGAGCACCCGTCCCAATTTCCACTACCTTATATGGTAATGCCCCGCCACTGTACAGAGCATTTTCAACTATATAAGGGCCGCGTTCTCTCACTCTGGGAGCTCAGTTTTCTAAAACTCTCGACACAACGTTACTTTGACACTCGAGGCAAGATCGGGCTATAAGCCCCATCAAGCAACGTACCTACCTTAGCGGTTTTATTAGTGAGTGTCCATTAGACTAATCGAGAAGTAGCTCCCGCGAACGCGCCGCGTAAAAGCCGATATAGATCTTTCGCCGTCAAGGCAACTTAGCAATAGTACCAGTTTTGTAAATCTATCACTGTACTTGAGCATCGTTAAGAATATATTCAAGTAGTATTCCTCACTTGTATTATTCACTTAATTCAACCCTGAACCATATTAACTGTAAGGCTAGGGGTATCTCACGAACCCGGTACACCTTTACCGCTCGAGGTGTACCATTACGATAGAGCAAGATCCTAAAACATCCTAAAAACCTATGTACGTGGCTCCCAGGGTATAAAGCCCCTGGTTCGCCCACTCCTGCTAGCGGCTCCCAGGATATAGAGCCCCTGGTTCGTCCGTGAAACCTTACATTTTCCTTATAAATCTAACCCCGTGGCTCCCAGGGTATAGAGCCCCTGGTTCGTCCGGACCTCCTTTCTTTTTCCTAACCATACCCAAAACCACCGGTCTAGTATTGCCCTCGACCGAATCCAGGATCTCGCGCTCGTGCTCGTAACAACGTACTCGCATGAAAAAACTTTGTTTTATATTTCTCATTTGTTCTTTCGTGTTAAATGATCAAATCTTAGAATTAGAACACGCTTATAGTTGCAAACAAACTTATGTATTTAAAAATTGAATAAAATAAGACAGTACAATGTAAAAGAAACAGAAATTCAATTTGTATAAATAAGTCAAGGAAAGTCAACTTATATAAATTGAAAAATCAAAATCTTATAAATAATCGTATCATTCTCAATCACCATCTTCGGAAACAATTATTATTTGCATCATCAGTATCGTTATATAACAGTTCAATTTATTTCTAAACTAAGTTTGAAAAAAAATACATACAGATCAATTATTCTGAATCTATACATATAATGAAACCATAAAATTCGGGTCGTTTTAGAAAGAAAAAAAATCTGTCAATTTATGTATATGAAGTCGAATTGTAGAGATCAATTCTACTTATCTTCTGTTTATTCTCTGAGTTATTGAGGTTTCACAAAGAGAAACGAATAACATATATATATATATATATATATATTTACACATATATTTCGATTTACAGACACTCGACTACTATGGCCAGTAATTAATATAATCGAAAACCTGAGATAGCCAGCAGGGTGAAATATTAGTTACAACTAAATGTTGTAGAATCGTGCAAAGAAAATATTACAATTTTTAAAAGAAATAGAAATCTTGCACAACCCACCGATACAATGATTTAGTATAAATTTTAAGCCACTAGTATAAGTATTTCACTAAATAAGAGTTTATATTAGACAAAAAAGGTATTCCATAGAATTTTTAGACGTTCGTAAATTTCGTTTTCTAAAGAAATTGATAGAAAGCTTTAAATTTCAACTATGTCGTGGTAGCACTTCCAATAGTAATTCCTCGGTACAAGACATAATGGAGACTTTAAGACGTTGACAGATTTATTACACTCTAATAGCTATTATCGTTTTACCCGTTTGAGTGCTATCCCGTGTCAAAAAGTACCAAATATTGCCCCGATAGGTTCAACTAACGGTGCACTTGAATCCTACTAGCAACAAAGTTTTCGTTATATAATTATTTAAATCGATGTTCGTCAAAACATAACGTATGAGACCTCTGTGACATTTAGCACAAATTAAATTTGATCTCTTAATGCGATTAATGCTGTTGGTTTTATATTTTTCGACACGAATCAGAAGAGACGCTATTGCACTATGTGACACTATTCGACATGACTAAAGCACTTGAAAGATCATGTTGATATTCTTAAATATAACGTAATTTTTAATAACTTCCTATGGAAATTTGTGGACCCCCACATTGGCCCTTTGGGGTCCGTGGACTACATTGTGTTTAAAAAAGTGTTTATTGCTGAGCATAACAACTCTTTGAATTATTCACTGGAGTATTAAAGATATTCCACATTTTGTGTCAGTCGTGAGAATAGAAATTGCCATTGGGTCGGAAGGATTAAGAAGCACCGGGTTGGACGATATTAGGCGGGAAACGAAGACGGTACAAGATCATAGGCAATAAAAAGTCTCCCGGTGTCTAGAGCGACGAGAATATATCGTTCGCGGAGCAGATTCCCGATCGAGGATCCCGAACGGGTGATAAACAGACCGTTACTCCCGGTACCGGGTCGGAGGCGGCGATGTCCAAACAAACGCGCGGAATAAACCGCGAGCCGGCACGGAGAAAAATAAATGGAGCAGCGCCGTCAGCGCCATTGGACGGGCGGGAAGCGAGCCGAAATGGAAGAAGCATCGTCCGGCGGCGATTAGGTCCGATTAGAAAGGTGCCAAAGAATTCTGGGCGGCCTGTTATTGGTATAGGTGAGGTCGCGAAGACTGCCACTATTAAGGTAATAAGGCTAACCCTTCTAAGGTTGTATACTTAGAATGGTGGCGTAGGGTGTGACGACGACGGTTGCCCTAACACATACACGTAGTCTCTCGGTCTATTTCTCTCTCTCACTCGCTCCCTCGTCCTCCCCTTCGCCAATCGAACGCCGCCACCCTTCGCGGTCCGCATTGCATCAGTGTGAGGCTAGCACTCGACCAGGACTCTTCCGGTTCTTCCTCGGCGCGTTGTAAACAACCGACGTCGCGGCATTCGGGACAACGTTCGTCCAACGGATCGATGTCCCCGGCTCGTCGAGTCCTAGACGCCTCCGCTGGAATCGACGCTCGTTTCCTCGACGGGTTTTCGACCCACCGTTTCGCGCTTGATCAACTGGCCGGGAAAACGCGACTCACGATACGGGAAACTCGGTCTCCTTTGATCTCGAACGTACACACGTGCACGTCCGTCGACTGGTCCGTGGTTTCGCCGGTTGAAAGTCACTTGGGGCCGAGTGCACGTGTTCAGGCTGTGTGCCAATAAGAACCATAGTGCGTGACAACTGTTTACTTATGGTCGATTGGTGGCTGTGATTTAGTTGCAAAACCTCCATAAAGGCCGGATTAAATGGCAGAGAGTCCGATTAGTAGCTCGAAACGCTACTATGCCAGGCAGGTTAGCTGATGCTTGTTCGCCGAATAAGAGGATTCCTTTATTTGCCTCAGATATCATTTTTGCCTACAGGTGGGACGGTTCTCGAATCGGTTCATCGTCTCTAGTACAGACTTTGATTATTTATTTTCGTCCATTGTCGATGTACTTCTCAATTCTATATTAAATATATTAATTACCTTATTTACAAATTTTTTTCTGAGACCTTGTCCATTGGCTGACAAAAATTATTCTGGATAAAATTACTTTGAACGTCGGGATTATAAAAGGATCCAACTAATAATAGCTTCTTTTTGAATGACTTCCAATGTAGAAACAGATTAAAATTACATATAAATAACATATGCATTGCGATTGACAGAGATTCTTCTTTTGTGTAACAAAGAGAAACGAAACAGTACGAAGTGACAGCAAGGAACGTGCATATTTTGTTCGTTTTTCGCCGCGTTTGCACTCGATGAAAGGCCTAGAATTTGCAAATATGAAACAAAAGGAGGGTATTTCTGATATTGTTTATTCCCTTATTCCACGAAGAGGAAACTGAATATACACCGTATCGAGTGAAACGATGCGTGAAATATTTTCCTTTTTATTCACGTTGGCACATGATAAACGTGAAATCGTGTTACTTCGGCCTCTGTTTGTATCAAATGTTGAAACAAATAATTGATAGAAGCTTCTTCGTTCTTTATTGTAACATTCGGTAAAAGTATTTCTACCATAAAAACAATTCTGCGTGCAATTCAAGGAAAACATTGGTAAATTAAGAAGAAACAAATTCAAAAAATATTGTAACGTCGCTATTCGTGTGGTTTTTTGGCTCAAGTCCAACGTATTGTAAAATAACTTAAACGCGAAATCGAAATCTCCGGATTCTTCATTTGTTTAATATTTTTACGAGAAGCTTCTCAGTGTCCTATAAAAATTGCATAGCAAAAGTTTCACTTAGCGAAGGAAAGTCAGCATCGAATGTTGAATGCTTTCCCTAATACTTGTACCGACAGAAATGAAAACTTTTCGTCGAACATCTCCACTTCCAAGGTGTTGATACCTTGTGCTCCAGGTGCTGTCCCTTGGAAACGATATCCTCCCAGAGTACAAATTACAGTCTCCTAGAATCGGCAAGTGGACCATACTGCACTACTCACCTTTCAAGGCGGTTTGGGATTGGGTGATACTACTGCTCGTAATGTACACAGCCATATTTACTCCATACGTTGCCGCCTTTGTCCTGTCGGACTCAGATTACAACAGCAGGAAGAACAAAAAGTATAGTGATGACCCCATCGTCATCATAGACTTCATAGGTGAGACAAAGATCATTATGCCTCGCTCTCTGACCAAAGACATTATACATATACCGTCTCGATTCATTGTACGCTTAAAATTATTCGATAATCTCCAATTTCTTGAGTAAATCCTAATAAAACAGGCTGTATGTAACAGGTGTTAGACTTTGGGTCGAAAAATTGTGGTACGAACGTCTGCAAGTTTCTTATTGTCAAGTTACATTTCAAACTTACGTTTCAAATAAAATGCCCCCTAAACAAATATTATTATCTGAATGGTACACGGACAAAAAGGGGGATTGTCAATTTTAACGTATTTTAAGATTACTGGCAAATTAAATATTTCTCTAAGTTTTACAGTTATCGCAAATTGCAATATATAACGAAAAAATGGAGAATGTCGAAGAAAAACTATGCAAGAACGAGTGTTTCGTAATATTTATTTTGATGCATATAAGAAATTTTCAATCGTGTGACGTGCTTGACATTCCATTCGATCATACATTTAAAAGAAGAATTTTACATAAAATTAGTTCCAACGTTGAAATCAGTATATTCTTAAAAACCTTTTACATACGCCTTGTTTATTCTTCAAAATTTGATATATCTGCAAAGTCGATACGATGCACTGAAATCGAAACGTTCATTTGCTTACGAGACGAGGGATGACCAACAGCTTCTTCGATCTTTTTGTACATGCCAGGCGTTCTTATTAGACTTTTGGGTTTTCAGTTGACGTCACTTTCATAGTGGACATCATCATAAATTTTCGCACGACTTTCGTGAATAGCAACGATGAAGTGGTGTCCCACCCTGCAAAGATAGCCGTCCATTACCTGAAGGGTTGGTTCATCATCGACCTGGTGGCTGCCATACCCTTCGACCTGTTCCTCGTTGGCTCCGATACTGACGAGGTAAGTTACGTCGCACGCTCCACGTTTTCTGAGAATCTTCTTTACAGGCTGACTCTGATCGCCGTGAAGTCACTTCCAATGAATCGTTTTGATTCAACGAACTGCTATAAGTCCAAACAAATAGTGTCGGAACGGTTAGAAATTTAGTAGGATGGAACACTTTCGATGGAACACGTTCTTTCGGACGCTTAACACTCGAGTCTACGAAAATTTGTTTAAACTATCGATTGCGTTTACAGGAAGATTTTAGACATTACAATATCTTCAATAGGAATAGCTTTCGATGCTATAGTACAGGAACGTTCGTGTATCGTTATTATTTAGAAATAAAAAAGGAAGTGGTTTCATGAACGATCAGATCTTCGGCTGAAGTTTCTAGAATGTCGATGTTAGCTCGTAAATATGATTAGGATGACATGCCGAGCCCAAGTTAAGTGCCCATAGGTGTGTCTTACCGGATTGGTGCTTAGTTCGTTTTTCCTTTTTTCGACGTTTCTCGGTGTTGAATGAGTTCTTTTTTCTTTGTCGAAAAGTTAGTCGGTTCGACATACATATATTTAATGTGCACACAATGTATAATACGTACCGGCAGACGAGAAGGAACTTCAACGGATTCTCGTTGTCTGGAACGATTCCACACAAGTTTCACGAGTGGTACACGTACGTCATGTGTCAGACATACTGAGCAAAAAAAAAAAAAAAAAATAAATACGTTTGTCCAAAAGAAGAAGAATTCAATTAGACGCAATTCATTCGAGAAAATACGAATTGGCATTCGCGTTGCGACGATCAACTTCTGTATTTAAATTTTTTTTTAAGGAACGACGAATAAAATAAATATCCGAGCAACGTAAAAGTCTTTCGTTTGAATCTGTACCTGTACACACACGTATGCATATACACTTAATCTATACACGTGTAAGTAAATCTAGTCTCTCGCTATGAAGATTTCTGCTCTCTGATTGTCAAAGTGTTAGACATTATTTGTCAATTCCTTGTCAAGAATTCTCTTCTACGTATTCTTTTCCCCGTGTCTTATTCCGTTTGCTATTTTGTTATGTTTTTAATCGATTCTCGTTTCCGTTTACCGTACTGTTTATTCTGTCTCATGATTTTCGCGTCTCTTCGCCGCTCCTCCGTGAAGGAAATTAGCGTACGCCTTTTCGTCAGGCAATTTTTTCTTTTTGGTTTCCCGATGCTCGGCAGTGAAAATAGAAAGATTCAGACGCAGAACTGACCGTGCGGTAAAACTGCACCTGCGAGTAATCTATTCGACCCCCCACCCCCCAATCTTCCCTCAAGTTCCTCTCGATGGAGAAGCAGAAATAGGTCGGCATAATTTTAATTGCGCGCGCAGGAAAGGTTATTACACGACCACGATGTTTAAATTAATTATTCCGCGAGCAAACCGGCAGGAGTTTCATGTCCCGGCAAACGAATTGAATCATTTTCTAGCGAATTCCGACGAGAGGAAAGGAATTTTTTACCGACCACGTAAATTATAAGGCTCGTCATTGCGATGATAACTTGTTTGATGAAAAAAAAAGAGTGAGAGTAATGCCCGTTTTATTTTTCCATTTTTCTTTTTTTCTCTTTTTTTTTGAACAATTAAATCACAATATCATGAGAGAACGAATTTTAACCTCAGTTTAACGTTTTCGTAGCTCGGCTTGGACAAGGACGAGGTTAGTTGACACACATACCACACAGAAAAATTACTCACAGGCTGACGTTTATTTATTTTTTTTTTTTATTATTATTAATGGAAACGCAGATTTTGACTTACACGTTTTTTACACACCAATGATTGAAAATCACCAACGCAACCATGAATTTCTTCTATCTGTTTCTATTTCTTTCTACTACCTTTACGTCACTCTCACACTTTCTCACTATCTCTGTCTGTTCCCATCATGTACAATTTAACCGCTTAAGAACGCCTCACACGTTGCGATATTTCTACTCTTTTAATGCACAAATTTATTTTCAATAATGGAACTCATTTTTTCTTGATGTAACACACGTTCAAATCACACCGTATTCACTCGATTAACAACACGCGTATACTCACTTCCACACACGCACACGTACATATACGAACACACGCACACAAAAGAAGAAGTTGACTCAACCAACTACGATTTGTTACAACCCCACGATTTGTCAAGAAAGTCCGAGCGAAGTCGATCGACACTTTGAGCAGCATCGAATGCCATCGATCATTTTTGATTAATTTAAAGAACGATGCAGCGATAATTTTTCAAACAAAAATGTTATATGTTTCGCAAAAATATAATATAAAAATTGCGAAAGATCTAACATTCGCTGTGATTTTTGAACGTAGAATTTATCTTTGAAATAGCAAAATTGCAAAATATTTATTTTTGCTCGGAAAGGACAAATTGCGATCGACTTCCTCCCATCCTGAAGCATACTAAATTTCTCGATGATGAACCTTGAAGAAGTCTGCATGTCTACAGTAATGTATTTACCAAGAATGAGTCTGTAAATAATTTATCTACGTTACGATCACTTACGTGATTCTCATTTGGTAGGAGAATCGACTTGCATCAGAGTATGATACCGTAGCGTTAAAAATACCTTCTTGTTTTCTTAGCCTTGTATCCCTGAGCATACAAGTGTTTCTGTAAAATATATCGTCAATAGTATGAGTACGTATGGAGCAAAGAAATGAAAGATATTTCGTAACCAGTATTTTTATAAAAATATTGTATATACGTCCTGATTAGATAGTTGATAGTTTTAGATGATTATTCGTAACAAATATTGATACATTGTTAATATCAAGCGAACGATTCTCTCCCTGACTATTTCAATATTTATTTTTTGTTGCTTTTTTATCGTATTTACACTTTGCTCGTCGCCTTGTTTTCAAGTAGTAACATAGATGTTCGTTGGGTATCAATACTTGTTGAGAATAATGCCAATAGTTAGTGTTCTTTGTAGTTAGTCGATCGACGAGTTTTGACTAACTATCGATGCTCAGGAACAAATAACTTTCCATTTTTTCTCCATCGACCGTATTTCACTTGAATTGTGTAATATTGTGGCACGAATTAGATAATTCCGTAAATCGAAGCCGTTCGAACCTGATTGAAACATTGAAACTAAAATGAAATTAGAAACTTGAAAGGTCCTGGTTGTTTTCTAATGAACGTTTCAATAATCTCTAGAGAACGTTTATAGATTTTGTCTCTTTGTTTAAACCTATTGTATACCAGCTTGTCCGTTTTATTTTCAGAAAATGCAAGGTACAGCTATACATATATACGTCTGTTTCTTCGGTAAAACATACGTTTACGTTTCAAAACTTTCGTGAAATATGAAAACGTTTCTTGAATTCAATCTATCGAGCATTATCTTGTAATTGCGTTTGAAACCTCGATTCGAACTCCGGGATTACAGGATAACTTATATTTAATCAACGACGAAGGAAGAAAGAAAGTTTAACGAAAAAACATATCGTTCTAAAAGATCGATCTTTCGCAGTCAGAATCAGCTGTTTCAGATGTCACTGGCACGTATAGGCCCACACGATACACACGCTTTAGACTTTTTAACGATATCTATCCATCTAAAGATTTAATCGCTAAATTTTGTAAGATATATTCGTGTTAAATGCACCTGTTTTCAACCACAGTAAATATTTCATAGATGGTAATAATCCCTAGATAATAGTATAGTCCGACAAAGAAGAACTATAATAAAAACAGGAATAATGGAATTAAAAGCGTTCTTTAACTCGAATAAAAATTCTGGAATTCGTGTCACCCTGATCATCTAGGCACACACACACACACACACACACCTTACACGTACATACACACGATACATGAAACACGCGCATACACACAGAACGACATCCGAGAGACGCAGCTGGATCACATAGCGACACAACGAAAGCATCCCCCGTATACAAATGATTTTTCAACGGAATTTTGTAACGATCGTATGTAAGCTTTTGGCGTTTTCTCTCTGGATTCAATTAAAAGACTCTGTTGGTCCTGTTTTTACGTTGCCGAGCTTTGTTTTGTACCTTTTATTGTTACGCTTATGTTGCAAGCTGTATAAAATCGTACAAGCCCGGCCTAATACAATGAGTTCTGCGCGCGTTATCATCGAGCGACTCATTAATTCGGTTGTTTCTAACGATGTGTTTGTAATTTTTGCGCTTTGATACAGACTGAGAACTCATCCTGTTGTCTATCACGTTTTTTATACATGTATCTATTTACGTACACGAATATCTAAATAATTTTTGTTCGACACGATAAGTGACTATGTGTGTATTTTCTGTCGCTTGTACGCTTCGTCTTCTTTCCACCTACGTGTAATGTGTTTTGTATAAAGTGTATGGATTGCTAGGAGATTTTTACGCGCAACACCGTTATTTGCCATTAGGTTTTCCTTGAAGATTACCTTGTACAATAATACACTTCACACCGAAGTATTAGACTAAGGATTGTGTATTTATGTAGCAAACGTTGAAAGGCCGACTATGCCAGAAACTATATGTAGAGAAATGTCGTTGATCATTACGTAGTATCTGCTCTTCTAACAATGCATAGTAAGCAGTAAGGAATTAAACTGTACAACCGCGCTTCTCAAACTTTACACAAGACGAAATCATTACCGAATTTTGTAAAATCTATATATACTATTGATTCGACGTATGCGGGACAACCATAATTTTGAGAACTAATACGTGTTAGTTTTGATGGGCAATCTAACTTACAAGAGAAATTCGAGTAACTGTTACACGCCAATTTCGATGTAACTTTGCAGAAATATTTATTAAACCTACCCAAGAATTTAACCGTAATTGGTTTGTGCTAGTTTTTAACTTTAAAGGAGAAATCGACCTTTCTATCCGAGCCTCCTCGTCTATTTAAGTGCTGATAAATTGTACACGAGAAAATTACATATTCGATGAATTCTTTGCATAGATTCATAGGTTTCCAGAATCGGTATAATTGATTGGTAGAATTGTTTGATTTACGATTTACAAGCGTTTAAATAGAAGTTTATTTCAAATTTTTAAGTCTAATAAACATTTGTACAAAGTTTTATTAAAATCGGGGTTTCCATGTTAGTATTAATATATATAATCAGTAGAAAGTGTTACAAGCTATTTTCTCAAAAACTAATGAAGATATCAACTTTTTTTTAAATTAATTGATCCAGAGATTTGTGCAACAAACTGTTAGGAACACAAAAGCGGGGCTTCTAGCTTATTTTGAATAGAGAATGGTATTTTTGGTTTCTTATTTGGATAGCTTCTATTAAACTAAACAACACTTTTTTCAAATTAAAATCTAATACTAACCGCGTATATCTGAGCAAACTAATGATATAGAAAGACGTAAATGGAGAATAATTTGTCACGGATAATAAGCGATTATTCTGCGGATGAAATATTCGACTGAGATGAATTTGTTCGGATAAACATTTGCTCGGAATAATTTGAATGGTGCTCCTAACTCCGTGTTGTATATTACAAGCATGGAACATGCAGCATTAATAGAATTACCTAACAGTAGAGGTATTCAAAGCCTGAAATATATCCTCAAGCATGGAACATGTGAAATTAATGGAACTACCTAACAGTAGAGATATCGAGAGCCTGAAATATATCCTCAAAGAATTAATCACACCTTTGCACCAGACGTTTAAAGCACCAAACATCCTATCAATTTTTAACACAACCGTCGTTTAAGGAATACCTAACGTGTCTAATCTACGGATAGTGGATTATTCAAGGTATTCCTTTGAATAGGAAGTATTCGACCAGGGTATCAATTACACAACGCTTACCTCCGAGGCAGCGAACATCCACGACATTCAAACCGTTTCATCAGAAGATAAGATCACCCACGGACAATAAGACGCGCTATCAAGTGTTCCAAGCATCCACGATCTTCGTTGATGCGCTGGCTCGCGTGTACATCGTAATAACATTTCTTGTACTATCGGTCGTGGCTATCAAACGTCCTCGGATATTCTTGGCAATCCGAGGCCGAATAAAAGACGAACCGACACGTACTCATCTCCCGTCAGGTCGATCGCGGACCGACTTATCGTGATCGTTTAAATCTACAAAGAGAATCTTCAAAACACCAAATAAAAACAATAAAGCACAGGAAATTCCAAATTTTGCTGAGTCCGATTAATATCGGAATATTATGAAAGTTGAAAGGCTTTTACGAAAACAATGTTTAATGATAGTACTTTGATAGAAATACGGTCGATCGGTTTCTTAAACGCAGTTAACGAAATTGTTACATCTTGCAAACGGATCATTGGAAATAACTATATCCTGTTCGCATGTAAAAATCACTAAGCAACCCATGCACCCAAGTTTCAAGTTCGAGACTATATCGTTAGCAAACAATTAGACGAATGGTTCAGTTTTGGTTGGAGCGTAGTCGACTTTGCATGATAGTCGGTACGAAGCATTGTTTGATCGAACGACGCGTCTTCCATGGTATTTTCGGCATGTCGGGGCTTCGAATCGAAGACCGCTATCGAATTTCAAACCCATCGCAGGTAAGAAGTTGGAGGGAAGCATGTAATACTACCTCTATTCGAAAGGAATGTTTGCAACGACGGCTGTGTATGCAAATGTCACTTGCAACGATTCTTAATCGCGACTGCTCGTGAGTTGGATTTTTATCGAAGAAAGAGAGAGTCCAAAAAATTCGAAACCTTGGCCATCGATTAAAGTTCTTACGATAATTAATAACCTAATCTCTAATCTCGTATGGTAGCTTCTGTCACTGTGAATAACAAGATCCTCTTATAGTGTTATGTCCTTTAATTACTTCTTATTAGCTATGATATGTTTCGAGCGGATCTTAGTAAGTACTCTTTTTTCTTTTTTTCTTACACGGAAAGATTTGTACATAATAATCGTAATGAATCGAACCCAAGTAACTGAATAGTAAATAGGGGTTTTGCAATTTAAAGTTAATGCTCTTAGATTTGTCAATGGGAATGCACCTAACGAAGCAGAATGTCTGCTCACGAGTCAGCTGATTGTTTCAGCGACTGTCGTTCTCGGAGTTCTTGATACGTTTTGGCATTTACTTTTATTCCGATTAGAGTTAAATCAGAATTGTCCTTATTAATCCGAAGAAGTGTCTCGTTCAGTGACAGTCCAATGTTCCAGAAAATGTCACACATGGAATATGCATTGGTTTCTGTCTGACCTAAAAATGACCGGAGACGTCTCGATCGATCGAACACGGGAACGACAGTCGTGTATTAGACATTCCTCGTAAGACTTACAATAACAACAATAACTTGGACTATAGAACTGACTTTGGCGATATTATAACAAAAAGAACGGTTCGATAAGGAACTGGTTACGTGGAACACTCGGTTATGGATTGTCAATGAATCCAGGATGAATTAATTATTTCTTACTGTGTTGTAACAAGTAAACCGAGCTTTGCTTATCTTGTAAAAAACAAGCAATTGACCGATCGTAATACACACATAGTTTAACTTTCTTATCGGATAAACGTCTCAAACCATTTATCGAATGTTCTTAGTAACGATTTTGTGGCTTTTAACGTACGTGTTTTTACAAGAAAAAATGTTTTTTTTTTTTTAATTGCTTACATTACTTACTATTGTGTTTTAACACTAGAACCACCATACCCGTCAAAATGACGAGTTTCAAGTATTTTTCTTTAAATTTATTGATACAAATATAGCAATTTATAATTTTAAAAAGATGGAACGACGATTACATTTCTTTATTTTTTCTTTTCAAATGTTCTAATTATTGATTATTTACCACAAATATGATTCCTTATTTTGAGAGATCATTAAAATTACTTTTAGACTACAAACTATAAATCAATATTTTTGTATTCATTTATAGATATAAATATATGTACATATGTAGGTTAAAAACCAACAAATTGTTACCGTACAGAATCTGAACAATGGTCTGAAACGTTCAACTAATAAAAAGGTTAAAGTCAATTATTATTTGTCGTTGTAACAAGTGGTGAATTTTGTTTAAATACAAAATTACATTAACAAACGCTTTAATCGTAATGACGTTTTCGAGTGTCCATTTTTGGTCTACGTCAGTTACAAAAATAGTGCAATATTTAACTAAATGAATTATAGAAAACATTATTGAATCCATTTACAAATAGAGTGACTTTAATTTATAAGTGCAATTATCTCCGGTACAATTTTTCGAAAAATATTTCAAATGGGACTTGCTCTGTTTCGAAGAATAAATAATTTAAGTAGTTTCTTGTAGATGGTTACCTTGAAATTCATTTTTTTAACTGAATAATATATTTTAGAATACATCGCTCGTTGCAGCTCGTCTTTATCTATAGAAATATATTAAACTATTAATGCTAAACGACTACTAGTTTAGGAGATATTTTGATTATAATATCGTGAATCGATACTATTAAAATGTATTTCGGTGTACGTGCAACTGTATATCTTTCGATCATTTGAAACTCAACGACCTCGTATGTTACGTTATGCTATTAAAAAATAAAATAACGAAACAAAAATTAACATTCCATTCGATGAAATAATGTAAATAGGTATCTTATACCGATCGTTACGATCCCATTGTGTTTACTTGTTCACTTAGAAAAAAACTACTTAGATTAAATAACTTGTCCCTCAAATCAGAGTAAGTCCCATTTAAAATATTTTCCGAATAAAGAACGCTTTGAAAAATAATTGCATTAATAAATTAAAATGGGCCACTCTGCGATTCGCTGAAACGTAAGCTTGTAGAGTACATAGCGATTACAGTAAAAATTTGCAAATCCTCTAAAAGTAATATACAGGGTGAGTCTCGTAACATGACAACTTCAAATAATTCATAAATTATTGTTGTACAAAAAAACGTTTCAGATAAAAGTTGTATGGCTTTTCGGTGGACTATAATCGGTTTTATATTATTCTGTTTTTTTATCAAAATATGAAGGTCACTTTCAGTTTTTTAAATAGTATGATTAATATTCCCACATTTAGATAAAGGGTCTAAAATAAATAATTATTGAGATATTAAAGATACAGTTTCATCGCATGCACTATAAACGATTATGATATTGTATTTCTCGCAATTACTGAACATTGCAAAAGTGAGACCTTTCTCATGTACGACTTTACATTTACTAAGTTTATTCGTAGTTGGTTGATGATACCTAGCATCTAACAAGAACTATGTTGTGCTAACAATCACATTGATTAATATGAAATTTTCTAATACAAGATAATTTATTTTTGCTATCATCTCAGTAACTATTTTTTTCAGACTCTATTTGGTATAATACTTTTTTATGTAGAATTTAATGTTTTATCTAAGTTCGAGAAAAACTATTAACCATTCCATTTAAAAAATTAAAACTGTCCTTCATATCTTGATAAAAAAACAAAATAACATAAAATCGACTAGAGCACTATATGCCCCTCTGAAAACCGCGCAATTTTTATTTGAAACACTTTTTTGTACAACAAATAATTTATGAGTTATTTGAAATCGTCATGTCACGAGACTCACTCTGTATATCTAAAAGTGAAAAGCATTATAACGTAAGTCGATATTAATTGTTTGTTAATACGACTATGTATTAACCTGTTATTTGTACAAAATAAAGTCTTCCTGTAAATTGCGATGATTTCAAGAAGAATTTGACGAAACTCCTGATTCAACGATAACGTTTTGAAACGAAACGTCCAAAATGGCATTCGAGGAAGAACGTCGTAGAGTTTGATTGCGACTAAATTGCTGGTGTCTGACCGGCAGCCAAAGTCAGTTCTCTGTACCTTGGACGGAAAACTGGAGTAAAGAACAAGAGTCTCGTACGGCCGAGTGTGAGATCGACAAAGTGTGACGTGTTCTTTGCAGACGACCACCTTGATAGGACTCCTGAAGACGGCACGTCTTCTGCGACTCGTCAGAGTAGCTAGGAAGATCGACAGGTACAGCGAATATGGAGCCGCGGTTTTGCTCCTTTTGATGGCCACCTTCGCTCTTATTGCTCACTGGATGGCGTGCATATGGTAAACTATATCCCCGCCCCATTGTGCTATTCTCTATAGTATCGAAAGCCCCTCGAACATGAAATACTAGTGATAGCAGTAGACAGTCATTAAATGTCGAGAATGTAGTTATAGAAGATCTTTATTTTTTTATTTCAAACATCCATGCTTTATTCGATTAATGTTCTTTACGTGATAGAACTTTTACCAGCGTAGTAGTCATTGTTTATTGCATCCGAGAAGAATTTCGACGATGCGAGGTCGCAAACGATGTATTTCTTTTCGTTGAAGGTACGCTATAGGAAACGCGGAAAGACCATCGTTAAAGAGCAAAGTCGGCTGGCTCGACATTCTGGCCAACGATACGCATCAGTTTTATTTTCACAACAACACCGGAGGCCCGAGTATAAAGGTGAACAAACTCTCATAATCTCTGTTTAAAGCCTGATATTACTCGGAGGCGAATCGAGGCTGCTTCAGCTTGCCAAACGAACCAAATCGTTTCTTCGATCGATTTCAGAGCCGCTATATCACAGCACTGTACTTCACCTTTAGTAGTTTAACGTCTGTGGGCTTTGGAAACGTGGCTCCAAACACGGACGCCGAGAAGATATTTACTATAATCGTTATGTTAATCGGATGTAAGTAGACTACCGCGTCAATTAATTTGTTTGCGATTACTCGTTACTCGTTGAATTGACTAGAAGATGCGCTATTTTCCCAGCTCTGATGTACGCCAGCATCTTTGGTAACGTATCAGCGATCATTCAGAGGCTTTACAGCGGCACGGCAAGATACCATACGCAAATGCTTCGAGTTCGAGAGTTCATAAAATTCCATCAGATCCCGAATCCGCTTCGTCAACGGTTGGAAGAATACTTTCAGCACGCTTGGACCTACACGAACGGGATCGACATGAACAGTGTTCTGAAAGGATTCCCTGAGTGCCTTCAGGCGGACATCTGTCTTCATCTGAACAGAAACCTTTTAATTAACTGTAGAGCCTTCGAGGGTGCCAGTCAAGGTTGTTTAAGGTACTAAAAAGTACTCATTCTACCTGTTATTAACATTGTTATTGTAATATAAAGCGCATTTTAAACATAAATCACAATATTGTAAATAAGATCAAAATTCAGATATAGTAGTGACAAATTAATAGAGACAATTTACTATTTATTTAAGATCAAAATTCAGATATAGTAGTGGCAAATTAAATAGTTTCCAAATTAACAGAGACAATTCACTATTTATTTAAAATCAAAATTCAGATATAGTAGTGATAATTTAAATAGTTTCCAAATTAACAGAGACAATTTACCACGTTCTATTCTAGTTTATTGCAAATACGATCGAAGTTCGGTACCTGTAAAAAATTTGTTTAATCCATTCTTTTTCCCCACTAGGGTATTATCGTTAAAATTTAAAACCACACACGCACCACCCGGTGATACATTAGTTCATAGAGGAGACGTGCTGACGTCTCTGTACTTCATATCGCGTGGAAGCATAGAGATATTAAAGAACGACGTGGTGATGGCTATTCTGGGCAAGAACGACATATTTGGAGAGAATCCTTGCATATATCCGACCGTCGGCAAGTCGTCTTGCAACCTGCGCGCTTTGACTTATTGTGATCTGCACAAGATACACAGGGACGATTTGCTGGACGTTTTGGCCCTTTATCCTGAGTTCGCCAATCACTTCAGCCAGAACCTCGAGATCACTTTTAATCTGCGAGACGTACGTAATGTTTATCTGCTTCTTTTCTACTGTTAACCCCTTCCCGTACTTTAACGAGTCTGACTCGTGACAAAGATTTTGGCCCAAACATAAATATCACGAGGCAGACTCGCGAACAGCAACTCACGATCGTGATTGAGTTGTAGTTTCTATCAGTACGCCACAAGAATCGGTCACGATTCTTATAACCTCTGTTACAAAGCAGTGTGACATCAATCTGGTCTGTTTACCGCGCGTTGATACCTACCGTTTGGGCCCGGACTTCGTCGAGCTAAATGCTACGGGAAGTGGTTAATAGTTCCTAATAAGAATATTAGGTGGTTACGGTGGAACAGAAATCAGTAACCAATGTCTTTAATACTTCTGTATAAAATATACTTATTTTCATTTTCCTTGTATTTAAATATTTCCATTTGGAGACATTGATTTTAAACGGGTTTTAAAATAACGAATTGTACATCAAAATCTACCGTTTTGACAATGAGTTCGATGACTTGCAGGAGGAACAGGCCGGTGTCGATCCAGTATCAGCAAGATTTCCTGTCAGCACTCCAACGGACGTTGACGTCGACGCTAGGAGATTCGCTTTCCGTCCACCAAGATACCGTCGAGGACTCGGAGGTCCTGGCACCAATCTTATCCCCACTGGTCGACAAGACTCCTTACAGGGTGATCAGGAAGACTAGTAAGTTCTTTCACGATATATTCACAGGGAAAATGCAAAAATGTCTGCTATATTATCGAAACATACTTCTTTATGAAATAACATGTGTAGAGGAAAGAATTTGAATTTCCGATATTTCGATTCTGGTACGGATCTTTTTCAAAGTTTTAGTTTATTGAATTGTTAAAAGAAAACGGAAGAAAGTACAAATTAGAACGACGACTGTACTTATATACAGGGTGTTCGGTCACCCGTGGGAAAATATTTTAATGGGAGATTCTAGAGGCCAAAATAAGACGAAAATCAAGAATACTATTTATTGATGGAGGCTTCGTTAAAAAGTTATTAACGTTTAAAGATTCCGCATTGAATTTTTTTTCTAGAAAGTAGGTAGGATTTCGGGGGTAGGTCAATTCACCAAAAATGATTGTAATTAACCCCCGTAACCGAAAATAATTTTTCCAGAACGATTTGAAATTTTTTTTTCGCCGAAAAATTAATAATAATAATAAATTTGTTCGACGCTCTACAGAAAAATTGTCTAATACTTTTTTGTAGGTACCCGCAGGCTCTGCTTCAGAAAAAAATTTCAATGAGATACCCTTATTATTGTAAGAGTTATGGCGATTTGAAAATTGGACCAGTTTTAAGGGGTCTTTCTCACTTTACTCTGTCAAGGAACAACTTTTTCAATATTGTTAAAATTTCTACATATTTTCGACTAAAATACGCGTTGTTTGCATTTTGAAAAATTAAAATCCTCCTGTCTGTTCTGGAGTTATGACATTTCAAATATTCGCATTTTCAGAAAAGCATTTTTGGTCTCACATTAGATTTTCGGACAAGAATTTTTTTCTTAAAAGTGCATAGGATTTCGGGGATATGTCTACACAGCAAAAATGCTTGTAATTGGCCCCTGTAACTAAATATAATTTTTTTAGTATGATTTGAAATTTTTTAATTTGGTCTAAAAATTTCAGTACCTACTTGAATTTTTTTCTCGAAAGTGAATAGGATTTCAGGGGTATGTGTATACACCAGAAATGATTGTAATTGAGCCTTGGAACCAAAAATAATTTTTTCAGAATAATTTGAAATTTTTTAATAACTTTTTAATGAAACCTCAGCTAAGAAATTGATATTCTTGATTTTCGTCTTATTTTGATCTCTAGAATCTCCCATTAAAATATTTCCCAGAAGCGGCCGAACACCCTGTATTGTGCACATTCGAACTTTGACTCGAATATCTTTTTGCTCGACCAACAGCGACAAAGCAAGTGGTCATGGAATTTTGGAGTTTAGTACCGATAAAGCCGGCCAAGATGTAACGCCTTTGAACCTGGAATTCGACGAACCGAAGCAAAGGAGTTCCACCTTGAACTCTATAACCGGTAAGAACAATCATCTTTGCCCGTCGATCGATTTTACTCCGTTTCTTTTTCCTCTCGGAGTACTGCCTTCTTCTACCGATACTCTCTTGTTTGCCTCTACTTTTTGTCTGAGGAATGTTGTTCTTTGCACGACAAATAGAATTTTGAATATTCGATAAAGATATTTTACAATTTTCGGTCTCGTTACGAATGGAGAGTTTGTTATTATACGGTTACGGAAGATCCTTATGATTCAAGAAGGTACATTTGAATCATGCTTCGCCATGCCCGCAACATTGACGCTTATCATTACAGAATATCAGTGATACGAAATATATAGAAGTATCTTGAGATATTATGTACATAAAAAGCTCGGCTTTTCCCTTCCCCCTTTCCCGTTTCTCTTATTAACTCGACTCGTTACACGATTCTAGACCATTTAGTATCTTACAAAGAGAACAGTTTTTCTGGATCAAATAACAACTTTATTGAAAAGAGGTAATTCCGATTCCCCACGTTGCTGATTGTGGTAATTACAGTTTGCTCTAATTGCGCTGTAGTTGTGGAGTGGAAACGGAGAGACGAGAAACATTTCCTCTTGCTCTAATGCTTGAATTGAAGCTTTATAATTTCTTTAACGCTCTTCACGATATAGTAATTAAATCGAAGGACAACTTCCGCTTAAGAAATCGTAACCTATTATATTTTAAGCATTCGTCGACGATTGAAATGTTCTTTCACGCGTCGAAAGAGATGATTCTATAACGATTCGATATACAGTCGCGTCGGTATTTAAGTTGACACTTATCATTTTTATAAAATAGCCGTAAAAGGATACAATAAAAATAAATAAAATACGAAATGTTTACAAAAATAAATTTATTCGTGTCTTAAGTAAATAATGTCACCTTATTAATTATGTTCATTTGAGTAACAATAGCATTAACAAATATTTTCTAATGAACGTCTATCGGAAAGTAAGTTGACAATGGTTATAAAGTAAATTATAATTCTATAAATAACAGTAAAAAAAATATTTAATAAGCAGTTTGATACCCTTTGGCTTTAATTACTTCCAGTAAACGATTTGGCATACTGTGTATTAATTTTTTTAACGTTTTGGGCTGTATTTCATCCCATGCCTTTTTTAGTGCGGCTATCAATTTTGGTTTTGTATAGCGGTCCGATTTTGGTATTTTTCGATCGAGTTCGTCCCATAAGTGCTCAATCGGATTTAAATCAGGGCTCTGCGGTGGCCAAGAAAGCAGCAATATATTGTTTTCGTCGATAAATTTTTTAACGATCTTTGCAGTATGTTTCGGATCGTTGTCGTGTTGGAATATGTATCCTGTATCTGGCCCAAATTTTTGAATTGATGGAAACAATTTTCTTTTAGAATATCGATGTATTTCGCTGCTGTTAATATACCATCAATAACTGTTAATTTTCCTACATTTTCATTGTTGAAGCAGCCCCATAACATTATAGACCCTCCACCGTGTTTCACGGTGGAGGTGATAACATTTTGTTTAAAAGCTTCTCCTTTTTTTCTCCACACATATTTCCTTCGTTTGTTTGATTGTAATTCAAATTTTGACTCGTCACTCCAAATTATGGATTCCCAGAATGCAGTCGGTTTATTAAAATGCTCTTTTGCAAAATTTAAACGTTTGCGAGCATTTGTTTCGGAAATGTGTGGCTTCTTCCTAGATATTCGACCATGCAACCCAGCTTCGTATAAACGGGATTTTATTTGAGTGGTCCCTATTGGCAAATTTAAATCTTCTTTGATCTGTTTGGCAGTAATAAATGGTTCCTTTTTTGTTATTTTAACAATTTCTCGATCCTGACGGGGAGTTGTTTTTCTTTTTCTTCCCGTTCTAACTAAATTTTCAGGTTTCCCAGTAGTCTCTATCTTTTTATAAATTTTTCGCACCCCTTCCTTTGATATCCCAAAATCTGTGGCAATCTGTTGCAAACTTTGGCCTTCTCTCCTTCTTTTATAAATTAATAATCTTTCAGACTCGTGTAATTCCCGTATTTTCGGCATGCTACAAGTAACCAATTCTTAACAATAACAATACATAACAAAAAAAAAACATTATATAAGAGACTAAATACATTATCAAATTATTAAATGCGCGTTTAATAGCAAAATTTTATTAATGAAATAAAAACTTGATTACGTCAACTTACTTTCCGGCGAACCAAATTTAGGAAGTATTTTTACAGATTGACTGTTATTTGATTGTACGCGGTGTTTTCGCTTTGACACTCACTGGTATACTGAGGCATTTCTTGTACATAATGTAAACAATGTCAGAATGTACGGAAGGACGCGTACAAGTGTTTAAATTATGGAACAATATCGTCAATACCAGAAATACAACAGCGTCAACATAAATACCGACGCAACTGTAAAGTCTTAACAATGAATCTCTGCAACGCGAAACAAATAAACTGCACTGCAATCGTTTTGAAATATTAATTTAATTAAAGCCAAGCATGAAATAATTTCTAAAATAACTTATTTAGGAAGAAAAAGAATTTAAAACTTGCAACCTCCTCCCCGTTTCTACTACACGTTTGCCAGACTACGATTTTGATTACTTTCATCTTGATTCAATTGCCACTTGCTCGAGTTTCATAAAGATCTTCATTCGTCCATAGACATTTTCTAAATTCTCGTCTCCATAGCCGTAGTTCATTTGTCACGAGCTTTATTCGATCTACCTGTCTGGCCCCTTACGTTTCCCCCGTCTTTTTGTCCACTAAAACATCCTCTTAATCCAACCGCCTCGATCGACAGAACCACGTTCTCTAGATCGATCATCGAAATCCTTTGAAAAGCTCGGTTCTTAATCCAAACAGTTCTACGAATACTGACTTTGACAAAATGTAGTTCGCACGAAAATTGTACAGTCATATAGCATGAAGTATACTACTCATATGTTAATATTTCGCGCTAATCCGAAGATTTCATTTAAGGAAAGTCAATTTTCTTTTAGAGATAAAAAATGTAAATAATATTGATATACATACAACAATAGTTTCTCGTCGGTAAAAAATATAGTGTGATACTGTTAATTACTGTACATATTCACCATATAGACTGTGGTGCAGAATTATAACCATACCTTCGAGTTTACAGATCTAGAACTTAGAAGGGGAGAATACAGATGAATTCCTATAAATTTTTAAAAGATTTAACACTATAAATCTACATTGAAAATAAGTCGACATATGTCTGAGTATTTTTTTCATTGGACCTTAGACTAGCTTTTGCCCGCGGCTTCGCTCGCACAGGAAACCGTTTAGTTCCAACGGAAATAGATATTGTTTCTCCATAAAACCTTTTAAGCCCCCATTCACCTCTATAGAGTTTTAATTTTATCTCATGTCCCCATCTTACACTTCAAAATTGATACCATTTTCGTAATTAACGTCCCAAGAAACCTTTATAACGACACCCATATCGATATTTAGGCGTATTTACACCATTGCAACGGTTTAGTGATAAGATAATAATTACGTACTTACATGTTAAATTTGAAGTTTCTAGATCCATTTACGGAAATAAGGCAACTTTAATGCAAAATAAGTGTATCAATGAGCATTAAGACCAAATTTGAAGCAAATTTGACGACAAATAAAGTATTCCTCATACAAACGTTACAACCCCTTTTCACCCCTTCAGAGGTTGAATTTAAAAAAAAACCGAAATAAATGTTTGATTAATTATATTAAAGAGTATTAAGACCAAGTATAAAGCAAATCCGACCACAAATAAAATGTTCCTCATACAAACGTTGCAACCCCTTTCCACCCCCTTAGGGGTTGTATTTCAGAATATCCTTTCTTATTCCTTGTATACACCATAAAGGAAACCTCTGTGCAAAACTTCAGCTCTTTATGTCCAAGAGTCTTAGCCTGGACGTTGATGAGTCAGTGAGTCAGGCCTTTCATTTTATAGTATAAATAAATATGTATGTATAGATTATATGTTATGAAAGATGCATCAGTACTAGGAATTATCCATGTTCCAGTTCACCTTTTATCAATCAAATTACTTTTTACTTGGCCAACTCAGGAGTTAAAAACTGTTGTATTATTTTAATGGACTTTACATATAACCAGAACAAAAAATGTCATATTACTTTAATGTTGTAATATATACCTTTGGAACGGATTTACTAACTTACTCTTGATTATTGTCGCTTTCCGTGATCACTTTTATATCGAGCAATATTACTTTAACATCATAAATAAAGTCCAACGAATAAACCCAATGAATGAGTGAATTTAATCTTCGCCCAACAAACTTCGATTTCATTTTGGCCCACGGGATCTGTTTGTTTTAAGATCATAAAGTTTTGATTTTGACTAAGTAACAGTAATAATAGTAATAGTTGTAAAAATGAACGATAATAATAAAATCGGAGATTTTATACAAGAATACAAAGATTTAGGTCAAAATGGACCCAGAGTCCGCCATCCGTTGAATCGTAAACTTTCAAAATGAAGAATTTCGATATACTTTTGCACCACAGTATATAATGTAAAAGACTGCATCGTCGTTTTACTGAAACATCTGTAGACGAAGCCTGTACGCAGTTGCATATACGATGAATAGTCGAATGAAATTAGAGCGAAAGTACCAGTTTGTCCATCGAACGAGGAAGAACGTAAATTCGAGGCGTTTAGGTTAAGCGTGCAGCGTTAAGCTTTGCGTTTGCGTTTGACTCCCGAATTCGTTAACACCTTGAAACCTGGTTGTTCAGGCATGCTAACCCATCTCAAGCGCAGCATACCGGACCTACGACAGCACAAGATCCATCTGCAGCCACTTACGAGTCACGATTACCTCGCCAAGCAGAGTAAGTATCCATCTGGCCGTGTAGACAGGTCAGTTTCGTAAGAAATCGTCGCCCAGGATGTACTTATTTAGCAAAGTTTCCCGTAGTCGGCTGGCGAGCGCCAACGTGCAAGGCACGGTACGCTTATTGCGTCCCCAGAAATTCTTGCGAGAGTCTCGAGCTTTCAATTTCTCTTTCTTTTCCGTATCCCCTTGTTTCCATGCTCTTGAAGATAAGAGGCAGTTTTAGAGAGTAGGAAGGCTTGCACTGCCTTCTATGGCGATACTGATTCTGTAACTGGATTTATTCAGTGACCACGCCGTTGACGAAACCAGCACGGAGAAGCTCCGCAGCCGGCGAAAGCAGCCTCAGCCAGAACGTGGTGCATCCGACGTCGACAACGTCCAGTCATTACACCACGCCGTCGCCACCGCAACATCCACAGTCTCATGGTGAGTGACGTAATCTCAACCTTTTGAGTACTGTGCCGGAGTCACTTTTGACTCATTACTTTCCTAAAGACGCGTGCACAAGTCTCACTATTGTGACAGAGATAATTGTATACAGGGTGTTCGATCACCCCTGGGAGAAATTTTAATGGTAGAGTTTAGAGGAAAAAATAAGACGGAAATCAAGAATACCAATTTGTTGATCGAGGCTTCGTTAAAAAGTTATTAACGTTTAAAGTTCCGCCTGCAGAACGGCAATCTGCGGACATCTGCGTGCATGCGGTAGTGGTTCTCACTCAGCATGAGAACGTCTACTTACTGACGTATCGACAGTCTTATAGTTTTATGAGTGAGAAGCACTATCATGCGTACGCAGCTATTCGCAGATTGCCGTTTTACAGGCGGAACTTTAAACGTTAATAACTTTTTAAAGAAGCCTCGATCAACAAATTGGTATTTCTGATTTTCGTCTTATTTTGGCCTGTAGAAGCTTCCAATAAAATTTTTTCCAGGGATGGCCGAACATCCTGTATAATATTTCTTCTCGACAGAGGAACTGTTGTTTCACGAAGAAGAATATTATTTAACCACCTTCCTTCTGAAATAATACGCATAGGTGCAAATGAATAAAGAAATGAATTTCAATTGTTGACATTTAGATCCTTATAGAGGCTCAATTTATTGACTTGGTATAAGAAGGCGAAGAAAAAGAGGAATCATTATAGAATGATAAGTACGCTTGTATGGTACAACTAGATTGCTTGCTTTTTGGGTTTCATGTGATTTCTACTCTTATGAATTGTGTATAGGTTCATCTAAGACATTATTAATGTTATTAATTGATATTTTCAAAATTCATTATATGTAAATATTTCAGATATACTAGAGACCAAAATAAGATGACAATAGAGAATGATGAAATTGTGTTTATAGCTTCGTGCCTGAATGATTATTTATTGAATATACTGGGAAAACAAAGATTTCGTTAAATTTTTCCTTTATTGGAGAAGATATTGAAATATTTAACTCCCAGAAGTAACTCTGCGAAGTCAAAAAGTTAAAAAAATTGTGACGACAGTTGCTAACCAGAGTTAGATTGAGCTTAAAAGTATTAACTAGTATAAAAACTATATTATATTTGTTATATAGTTTAAAGTATTTTTAACCATCAACTTAAAAGAATGGGGACATTCAAGGATTAAACTGTATATGTATATGTATATCTCTATTAGTGAAATGTTGGTGTAGATCAGAAATAATTGCGATATAGTCTATTATACTCTATTGGAAGTAGTTTAAAAACAAATTATATCGTGTTTGGTCTTATTTTAATCGGAAAACTCTCACGAATACATTGATAAAAGTTTCATTTAAAAAAAAAAGTAAAAAAGTTTCATCTTTGCATTAGGTACTATGTATGCATTGTTTCACTGATATTCGAACTCAGATTTGATTACACTACTCGACGTTAAGCTTCTTTGGTGTATCAAGAGGAGTCCCCTCTCAGTATTAGGGATGACTACCGTTCACTTATCCAATCGAAAACAACTCGCAGTTATCCAAGCATTGCTGTATTCTAGAATAAATCATGTATGCACATAATAACAAAATACGCGTTCTACACATATGATATAATCTTCTATTTAACGACTTTATTCGCCAAATGAAAAAAAGTAATGTACGTAGAAGAGATATACCAAGCAGGGTAAAAGGGCAAGATTTAACCCAAATTAAGCTATCCCGTAAAAGTAGATGTTAAATAAATATCCCCAAAAAGGCGACGAAAAGAGAAGTAAATATTATTCCATCAAGAAAACAATGTTTCAATACTTGAATTGAAATTTTCAGGTGACTTTCAAAGCGGACCAGGCCGGCCTATAGAAGAAATGAACGCCAGAATAGACCAGTTGTCGAGGCAAGTGTCTTCTTTGGAGCACTCGATGGCCGGAGACATTAGATTGATCTTGACTTTGCTTCAACAAACAATTAATTCGTCGAGGGAAAGCTCTAGCATCGAGATGATGCCTGGTACCGCTCCAGCTGGAACAGACAAACAAAGTAGTAGACCTCCGGCGTTGGTCCAACGATCAGCCAGCGAACCACAGCCCCCAACGATTCCGCCGCAGAGCAATGGAAACGGGAAGATCCAGCCCAGCACGTCTCACGGTTTGTTCAGGTGAGTGATCGCGATTTATAGTGATTTAGAAATGTCGATGATCCTCGTAGTAACGCGTGAAAAAGATTGGCGTTTTGGTGATAACACCTGGACAACGAGCGAATCCTTTATTCTGGCAGTATTTTTTAACACAGAAAGTATTTTGTGGAACATTCTATCCCTGCTGTGTAATTTTTTGAAGAACTACTTGATTAAATGATAAAATAGTCATAGAAAGATGGAACTTTGGAGGATAGCTTTATCTACCTTTACAGACAAGTCTGTCCAATCAAAATGCACGGTCCTATAATTGTTCCCCACCTTACACATATACAAAGTTTCATCGAAATCGGTATACACCAAACGATGGATACTTCTGATAAGTTTGCTTCTGTTAATTTGTCATCGTGTTGGTTTCTACCGATTTTCAGTCGATAAATTGTATATCGTAGTTTCCAGTGTTTTTATTTTTGAAAGGTACAGAATGTTTTTTTCTGATGCTCTATCGATGGATCCATCGTATGTCAAATTTGATTCAAGGGCACATTTGACCCCCTTATTCGGCTATACCCTTTAAAGGAAAAGACGCCGTCTTTTTCGCACGCTACTATTGCTGTTAGACTGTCTGTCATAGCGAAAATAACATCTGAGACCAACTCTCTCTTCCTTTGTTTCGCTCTATATCTCTCTATCCAAATCGATTCGGTCAAGATGTATGAACCATCGCATCGGCGTGACCGATTTCCGAATACGTAGAGAACGTTGCGTGCGTGTATACGTGTGTGCGCGCGACTGTATTCTTAATCATTTTTTCAAGTAGAAATTGATTCTGTTTTTCCTAGGAAGTAATCGATGTTTTTATTCTTGGAAAGCTTTCTTTCGAAATCCCTGGATCAGTTGCATTTGATTTCGGCGTCTTTTATTTTGGAAAGGTTGGACAAGTTCCGAAGGTGACCATACTCATACTCTTCTTTGAAACCCTTTTGCGAGCAGTGTCGCGCAAGTAGAAACAAAACAGGAACATCAAAATGCAAATGAAAATTGCAAAACGGTAACGCTGCTAGTTTTCCTGCGTTCATAAAATTCACTAATTATTTTCCTTTTCCGTAACGTACGTAAAGTACGTAAATCATGTTGAACGATGGCTCGTTTCTCTTTTTACGTCTTTACCTTGGACTTTCTTACCTTTTTTTTCTGAATAATTTTTTTCTAAAACAATTAGAATCGATAATCGACATCGACATTTATTCGAGAATCGTTTCGACACCTCTTAGAATGGTTTATTACTTTTCTTGTTTGGGGATACTAGTGCTAGATATTTTGTTACTTTGTACATTGTGATCGATCCTCCTTGCGTAATTGCTGATCTAATCTTTCTTTGTTCGTTACTAGACATTGATCGAGCATTTTTCACACGACGCGTTCGTAGACGATTTGATTTATTTTGTAACGTAGCACGTTTCGAAGCTTGAGAGTAATAAATATGTGGAAGAACGAAAACAGTTTTCTTGATTCGTTTGTTTCTCGATGACGCCACTTCAATTACGATACCATTGATGAGCAATTTGAAGGAAAATTTCCAAGAAAATCGTTTTAGAGCGTTTCTGTGTGTGTTTTTTTTTAATTCATACACTAGAACAGTCGTTAAGACAATGCTTACTATTTAACATAAAAATGTACACACGCTTGGAGAATTTTTATAATGATAGTACCGAACTTTTCAAATATTACAATTAGCATCAATGAATATTTTCAAATTAAATACATATCGAACAAAGTATTTATAATTTATAGTCGTACGAGTACTGTAATTTTAATGCTAAGTATTAATATTATGTCAATAATATTGATATATATCGTAAAGGAATGAAAATTCTTCATCTAACTTTTAGAAAAACTTTGCACGAACGATATAGAAAGTTTCTAACATTCACGAGGTTCCTATTTAGGAAATCTTAACAATTACAGAACGATACACAACAGTTTCTGATACTTCATTCGCTTCACTTACAACTCACGCAACAAACAATAACACTTTCTAACGATAGTACACTGCTTAACAAATCTTGCCTTCATAGCAACATAAAATATCCCGTCATGGAAAGAGGTAAGAAACTCAACTAGTAGCTGATTCCCGCGAGTATGAACCGCCACTATGTAGGACATAATTTATCATTAGTGCACAAGCATACGTATGTTTTGCTAGACCCGTTTAGAAATGTGCAGTATAGTCTTGATAGTTTTATTATGTATAATTTCAGTCATCGAGAGATTTTCCAGCGAGTGGACCAAGAACTTTGGTAATTATGCAGAAAAGGGGCCGCCTCACCGATTTCGATGACATTGAAATATGTATGTTGTCGAAGACACTAAGCATTTTGAGTAAATTTTTTCTATACATGTTACCGCCACTCGGCTTCACTTTTCGAAATGTTTGAAAAATATTTCAGTTAAATATAGATTAAGATTACACTAACTTCCGGCCTATGGAGCCATCATACATTACATTACAAAACATGTATCCACTTAATAATGACAAAAGCATACATGACGAGGTTACTTGTAAATAAACACACATATAAGACACTTATAAGAGTATTCCTTTATTTTTCTACGATTTTTTCAACCAATATTACAATCCAAAACCAGATATGGGCAAAATTCTTATCGAAATAAAAATTTAAAGTAAGGAATAAAAGATAAAAAATCATTCGTTGTTAGCTCAATAAAAATACAACGTTCAGTTATCGAGTTAAGTATTCTACAATAAAAAAATAGAAATTTAATTATACGATAGAATAAATTACTATATACAATGTTGGTCTTATTGGTTATAATATATGAGAATAAAATTTTGCTCGTTTCTGTCTAATGGGAACTTTAATATAGTAATAAACTTTAATGTATATTCTAATTATGCTTTTATTTATTACCATTTACTAAAACAAAGAATGCGACATTTAATATCTATATGAATTATTTGATGAATTAGTTTCTGAATTAATTAATTAACTGAGTCTGAGTTTAGTTTATATTACAATTATATTCTCAACCCGACTGATCAGTACTTAAGTTTCTTCTAAGTTTCATTTTTTATTGTGATATTTGCGACATTAATTAAGTGTAACAAAAACACATTTATTGCAGGCAACCTCTTTCCAACCTACTTTAACCTAAGCCTAATTCAAACCAAACCAAATCTATTCCAAACATCACAAATTGATATTTTATTCCAAAGATACTTTCATATACAGAATGTTTACCTTGACAACATATCCTTCAGGGTATCGATATTGACAACGAGACCCCTTTTCTGCATAACTACCAGAATTTTGTATGGCATTTAAAAAGTTGAATAGTAACACATGAAATTTATTTAAAGTAGGAAAAACTCCTAACCTCTTTGAGGATAGTGCTATAGTAATAGTAATATATTCATACACTTCTAGTTTAGATGTTATTCAGGTACTGTAACGTAAAATCCGATCACTAAAATTGTGAATTAAATAATTAAATTATCCAATCCTATAACATGACAATGAATTTATAAAATTAATAGTTGTTGTAGAACAATAACAGTTTCAATATTTGTTTGTTTAGAATAAAATATTAATGATCACTCATTACCCAGCTATTTATAATATTATAGTTGTTATGTTTTTACAAGCTTGTTGCAGTTCAAAACATTCAAGAGATATTAAATTTTATTTTTCTAAATACAAGGTGTCTTAAAGGTTACCATCCATTTTCAGATATGTACAGATATAGGAACAGAAAGGTTTTGCAAATTTTGACTTTCATGCAATCAATTGAAATAAAAGACTGCGAATACACTTTGTATTTTGATGGACATGATTAAATTGCAACATCTTGTATCATTAATTATCAGAAATATTAAATTCAATTCATAAATCCCCTAAACGATCTTACTGGAGAGTGAGAAATTTTCTTTTCCGACGAATGCCAAATAGTTCACAACAAAAAATCTCAAATTTTTGTTTTATTAGGTGTACAAATGAATAATCCAATTTTTTCAGGCACATTCAATGTTTATTTTAAAAAAAAGTTAATTGAATTGTTCAATCAAAGTATTCGCTGTTACTTTCTATAACTTCAAGCCATCTTTCAGGCAGCTGATGAATTCGATCTCGGAAAAATTTTATGTTTTTGGACCCGATAAAGCCGTCAAGCCATTTTTGGATCTCACCACTGATTGAAAGTGCATACCAGATAAGGTATGTTGCATCGACCGGAACAGGTGATAATCAGATGGAGCAATGTTTGGTGAATACGCTGGGTGCTGCAAGACGTCCTAGCCAAGACCCATTGTGATGTCTTTTGTATGGGAAGCAATATGTGGCCTGGCGTTGTCATGCAACAATTTTACTGGATGTTTTCCTTTGCCAGTATATGGACGTTTTCGTTCCAATGCTTGACTTAAGCAGATTAATTGACGTTGGTAGCAGTCCGCAGTAACTGTTTCACTCAGTTTCAACAACTCATAATAAACCACGCCCTTGATATCCCACCAAATGCAGAGAAGAACCTTCTTTCCGAAGCGATTGGGTTTTGCAACCAATGTTGATGCTCCGCCCGGATATACGCATGACTTTCTGCGTTTCGGATTGTCATAAAGCATCCACTTCGCATCGCCCGTAACGATTTTCCACAAGGAAGTCTTTCGACGTTGCTTATTGAGAAGAGAAAGACACGCTGCCACTCGTTGATTTTTGTTGGTTGCAGTGAGTTCTTGCGGAACTCATCTTCCTTCTTTCTGGATCTTTCCCATCTCACATAGGCGTTTGAAAATCGTTTGCTGGGTTACTTCTAACTGTTCTGCAAGTTCTTTTTGCGTTTGTGCCGCATTCTCAACGAACAGTTCTAAATCATCGTTGTCGCACTTCCGAGGGCCTCCAGGGCGTTGTTTGTCGATTAAACTCAAATCACCGCTTTTAAACCGTTTAAACCAAAATGCGTACACATCATACGGTACAACACCTTCACCGAGAAAGGAACAAATCGATTCGCATGCTCTTGCAGTATTTTTCCCTTGTTGGAATTCGTAAAGAATGCAGTGTCGGATATGCACCTTATCTGTTGCCATTTTCGAGTCTACTGAATTGAATACTTTTGAAGGTTATGTTGGGCATTTCGCTAAACTATCTTTTGTTTCAACTAGCTATATGTCAACACTATATGACTGCAAAGAGCGGGGAAATCTATTGACTTTAAACTTGATTTTATAACTGCTCCAAATAATTTGGATTATTCATTTGTACACCTAATACTTTAATGAGAAATTTGGTAAAATTAATAATATTTTACAATATTTTACAATAAAGAAATACAAATTTAACTAATTGGCGGAATAAGTATCATGAATAAATTTTAATACGTTGATTTTATTTGTTTGTTATTCGAATAAAATAACATCAACTTCTGGTTTTAGGATACATTTTCAAGTCTATTGGAAATTCGATTAAAAGTATACAATTTACTTCGCATCATATTCTGGAACAAATATTCATCCATGATAAACATACAATATTTCCTGCATATTTAAAAAAAAAACATTCTACTTCTAATATTACATAAAGATACATTTTATAATGAGAAAAAATATATTTTCCATGATATGAAATAAATATTCATTTAATATTCAGAAAAACATATTTTTCTCGTAACATGAAATAGATATTTCCTGCATATTTACAAAACAAATATTTGTTATTTAATATAAAATAAATATTGTATGTATATTCGAATATTAAAAAAAGATTGAATTTCTTTTTAATATTATATGAATGTGTATACAATATTTTGTGCTACTAGGGTCTAGTCGTTTGTTAAGTATAAGAATTTTATGCTGTTTATTAATATTCATTAATATTAGCAAATTCTTTCCACTTTAATGGTAAAAATCACATTTTTCATAAAACATTCTATGTATCTGAAATAATTATATGATAAATGACCAGAACTTTTTATTTACTTCTATCTTATAGTTATTTTTCTAAAAGTCCTAGTAATTCTGAAACTAGATTGAATATCTCAGGATTAGATTAATGAACCTTCAGAGTTCGTCGAACATTCTAACCACTCGCTGAAAGATCTCTCTGCCGACCCGAAACCACCATGCTGCCAGTTTCCAAATTTTCCGTTCTTAAAACTATCGAGATTCTACCGTATTCCCTCTTAGCGCTCGATAGGAGTTTCCTCGTGCTCCTTTCGAACACTAGCGTGACAAGAAACAACGACGACTCGGTATCGAGGGAGCCGATTTTGTAGAGTAACCATAATGTCGATGTCAGATTACCAAGGTTACAATAGGAGTCCCAATCAGCCAGACTTGCGACACTGTTCGGGACATTTAGAGGAATTAGAGGCCTATCGAATCCCCTTGTACATAATCACGTGCTTCAAGTATAATTCGCTGCTACTCGTAGCGGGACGCGAGTGCCGCTGCTCGGGCTACGATAAACGATTCATTCTGTGATTTCCATCTGCAGCAGACCTCCGACGAGGGAGCCAACGGCGACGTCTTCGGGAACGTCACGACTGACGGTGACATCCGACATGTCAGCGTTGGCTACTGCCCTGCAGACGGCGTTGAACGGAAGAATGGCACCGACGAGGTCGCAGAGCCAACCTGTTGATCTGGCGGTCCCATCTAACGCGCAGCATGGTCATTTGCCGCACGCGTGGCACAGCCAACCTGCTGCATTTAGGAGAGGAGAATTTAGAAGCGGGTATGTTAGACATTTATTATGGCTTAAATCTTAACAGACTCGAAGTACTCGCTAAATCGACCAAAAAATAACCAGACATACACTACCGCCCATAAATTTACCTGACAATTTGCTCGTCTATTTTAGAAAATACTAATTAAAATACAGACACAATTTTTGAAGCGATATTATCTTGCTTTCTTACATTTAGCCATTTCAAGTTACTACTTTACTATTATACATGCAAGCACCTAATATAAATTATATGTTAGCATATAATTTAAGTGACGTATAATTAAAGACGCACGCAGCTAAAATAATGTATCAACACGAATATACTATTCGTAATATTATATGTTATACAGGGTGTTCGGCCACCTCTAGCAAAAATTTTAATGAGCGATAGTAGAGGCCAAAATAAGACGAAAATCAAGTATACTAATTTGTTGATGGACGCTTCGTTACAATGTTATTAACATTTAAAGTTCCGCCTGAATCATGGCAACCATCGAGCATATGCGTAAGCGTGGGAGATCAGGAAACGATGTATTACAGGAACCGAGCTTACCGACTTATTGATCGCCTTTCGTGTCTGCGTCAACTCTCAGGACGGCGAACGTGGTATGTACGTTGCATGAAATCCGACAGCCCCTCGTTTTTGCGTCAACTCCCAGGAAGGTAAACGCATATCGTCGAATAGGATTCAACCTGTCTTATGAACATCCAGAGGGGCATATCAATACTCGCCCGACAAGATGTTCACAGAGAGAGGGTGAATGGCTCTTTTAACACACACATTTTTTCTGTATAAAAATCACCCACACGCGAGCATACACGCATCGCGATTGTCCCGTCCGCGAATGTCCACGTGTATGTGCACCGCGATTGTCCCGACCGCGAGTGTCCACAAATAAATACTGTTGCACACGAACCATCATACTTTTTTTCCAAAAAAAAACCACACGCGAGCATACGCGCACCGCGATTGTCCCGTCCGCGAGTGTCCACATACACAGAGAGAACTGCCTCACAAAAGATGTTCCACGTGGCCACCATTCTCTTGTAGGCACAGCTGCATTCTTCTCTGGAAATTTCGTCGCATATTTTCTAAATGAGCCCCTTCTCGTGACTCAATAATACCAGCTGAAAACGTAATCCGGCAATTGAGTTCGTCGAGCGTGTTTACTGGTGTTGAGTAAACTAAATCCTTTATGTGGCCCCAGTAGAAAAAATCAAGGGGGTTCAAATCAGGTGAACGAGCAGGCCACAGCTGAGGTCCTCCTCGTCCAATCCACTTGTTTTTAAAGTACGCGTTTAAATGCCCGCGTACTGCCAGTGTGGAATGGGGCGGTGCACCGTCGTGCATGTACCACATGTTTCTGCGTACATGTAGTGGTACATCCTCCAGAAGGCTTGGCAACTGCGTTTCCAAAAATTCCAGGTACAATTGTCCTGTTAATCGTTGTGGCAAGACCACAGGACCAATAATTTTACTGCCAAGTATGCCTGCCCAAATATTGACAGAAAACTGGCGTTGTGTATTTATTGCGTAAACCGCGTGTGGGTTTTCTTATGCCCAAATATGGGCATTGTGTGTGTTTATGTTGCATTTTTTCTCGTTCCGCGCCGCGCACTACACAACACAAACCGCGTACCACACACTACACTGCACTACACAACACTACACAACACAACTTAATATAAACCGCGGATTTCGATTCCACGCACTATCGCGCAATAAAAAAATAAAACTGGAAAAAAATTTATAATTAGTAAATCTGATTAATGACTGAATATTAATTCAGATTGTAGAGTTCGAGAGCTATTGAATGTCCGTATTCGTTGGCGACTGCCTTCGAAATGAGAAAAGACAAACGATGACGAGTGGCGAGAAAAGCAGACACATTATTAAAGTGCCGAACGCGCGGCCCACGAAGCATACATTGTAACAATTTCCATGTACGTTCTGGGTGTCATACTTTAAATATTAAGTAAAAAGAAATATTTATGATCGGGGAGTTTTAAAACGTGTATTTCTGTAAACAAAATTCTGGACATTTTTTTCCATTATCGTATTTATGCCTACATAAGTCGGAAAGTAAAAATGTCGGGGCTTTACAATGTATGCTTCGTAGGCCGCGCGTTCGGCACTTTAATAATGTGTCTGCTTTTCTCGCCACTCGTCATCGTTTGTCTTTTCTCATTTCGAAGGCAGTCGCCAACGAATACGGACATTCAATAGCTCTCGAACTCTACAATCTGAATTAATATTCAGTCATTAATCAGATTTACTAATTATAAATTTTTTTCCAGTTTTATTTTTTTATTGCGCGATAGTGCGTGGAATCGAAATCCGCGGTTTATATTAAGTTGTGTTGTGTAGTGTTGTGTAGTGCAGTGTAGTGTGTGGTACGCGGTTTGTGTTGTGTAGTGCGCGGCGCGGAACGAGAAAAAATGCAACATAAACACACACAATGCCCATATTTGGGCATAAGAAAACCCACACGCGGTTTACGCAATAAATACACAACGCCAGTTTTCTGTCAATATTTGGGCAGGCATACTTGGCAGTAAAATTATTGGTCCTGTGGTCTTGCCACAACGATTAACAGGACAATTGTACCTGGAATTTTTGGAAACGCAGTTGCCAAGCCTTCTGGAGGATGTACCACTACATGTACGCAGAAACATGTGGTACATGCACGACGGTGCACCGCCCCATTCCACACTGGCAGTACGCGGGCATTTAAACGCGTACTTTAAAAACAAGTGGATTGGACGAGGAGGACCTCAGCTGTGGCCTGCTCGTTCACCTGATTTGAACCCCCTTGATTTTTTCTACTGGGGCCACATAAAGGATTTAGTTTACTCAACACCAGTAAACACGCTCGACGAACTCAATTGCCGGATTACGTTTTCAGCTGGTATTATTGAGTCACGAGAAGGGGCTCATTTAGAAAATATGCGACGAAATTTCCAGAGAAGAATGCAGCTGTGCCTACAAGAGAATGGTGGCCACGTGGAACATCTTTTGTGAGGCAGTTCTCTCTGTGTATGTGGACACTCGCGGACGGGACAATCGCGGTGCGCGTATGCTCGCGTGTGGTTTTTTTTTGGAAAAAAAGTATGATGGTTCGTGTGCAACAGTATTTATTTGTGGACACTCGCGGTCGGGACAATCGCGGTGCACATACACGTGGACATTCGCGGACGGGACAATCGCGATGCGTGTATGCTCGCGTGTGGGTGATTTTTATACAGAAAAAATGTGTGTGTTAAAAGAGCCATTCACCCTCTCTCTGTGAACATCTTGTCGGGCGAGTATTGATATGCCCCTCTGGATGTTCATAAGACAGGTTGAATCCTATTCGACGATATGCGTTTACCTTCCTGGGAGTTGACGCAAAAACGAGGGGCTGTCGGATTTCATGCAACGTACATACCACGTTCGCCGTCCTGAGAGTTGACGCAGACACGAAAGGCGATCAATAAGTCGGTAAGCTCGGTTCCTGTAATACATCGTTTCCTGATCTCCCACGCTTACGCATATGCTCGATGGTTGCCATGATTCAGGCGGAACTTTAAATGTTAATAACATTGTAACGAAGCGTCCATCAACAAATTAGTATACTTGATTTTCGTCTTATTTTGGCCTCTACTATCGCTCATTAAAATTTTTGCTAGAGGTGGCCGAACACCCTGTATACGCACAAATCCTGTCTACTTTTCCTGTACAATTTTTAATAACAAACGGTTACAAATGGTTCTTACCGTATTTATTTTAATTTTCTGAAAATAATTCTTATTTTAATTTTAAAACACTCTGGCGAGAAGCGGCACTCGGGTGCGCAGGGTTAATTTCTTAAAAATTCCGAGAGCATCTTCCCACATTTTATTCCTTCTTTCTTGGAACCAGCGAATACAAATAATTAATAAATTCGATTTAGCTGGCTGATTTATCCGATCCGCAGAGGTAACAGTTGCAGTGGTAGTATTTTTAATTATTTGTATTCGTTCCTCAACGAATCTTCAATGTACATCTTGCTACCTACCCGACGCGGTGGCTCTCCTAGTTCGGACGGCCCTGGGCGCGCGGATGGCGCGCACCGTGATTGGTCAGTGTTTTTCGTTAATAATTCAAAAACGAAGCCCTATCTGACATTTTTGCAAAGGAAATTGTTGTTCAGAATCGTCTCAGCTATCTCACATTTCCGGTCCTTACACTATTTACGGGACACCCTGTATATTAATTTCAATTATTTGCTAAATAATCTATGTACCATAAAAATATATAATATATAAAACTTAAGTGCATAATAGTTATACTACTGTAGGGTGTGAACGATTTGTGGTGCGTGCGAACGGTCGGTGTCATCCCGCGACGGGATGGCACCAGTATGTTTGTGGATTTGAGTGCCTGGGTCTTGAAAACTTTCGTGAGGTATGAATTGGTCATTGTTGCGTGCGTGCGGTCGGTGTCGTTTTGCGTCTGGACGGCGCCGGGATGTTTGGGAAATAGGGTGACTGCGTTTAGAAAATGTCGAGTGGCTGAAAGAATGCGAGGAAGAGTGTTTGGAACTGAGCGACTGAACTGATTAGCAAGGCGTGTACGTGACTGCGTGAACCTGGACCATGGATGCGAGGATTTTGGGTGTGAGTGAAAAGGGATGATTGCGTGAGAAAGATAGAGCGACTGAGGGTGAATGCTATAAGTGCGTGAATGTTCGGCGGCGCGGCAGTTGATAGGCGACATTGGTTAAGCGAGAGTGTGTTATAGCGAGAGTAGCGATTTGCGTTTTTGTTATTGTTGTGTTATTCTGTTTTTAATAAATTGTTGTTATTAGTTTGACGAGTCCTCGTCCCAACTTTATTTGTGAACGACCTATCCCAGCCAACACACTAGTTTCCTACACTACTTTAATTAAATTTAATTCGTACCTATTTCTTCTACCTGTCCACTTAATTTTGTCCACAACTGTATGTCGAAAATTAAGTTTGTCGTATTTACTTCATCAAACACAATCTTGGTGGTCATTTAAATGATCCACTAAATTATCTCTTGTAGTTTTCATTTTATTTTATATGCAACATTTTCACCTAATCATAGGAATTTGATTACCCCCGCTGTACCTAATTGGTCAAAAAAAGTCATTACGATCGTTATACAGGGTGTCCCGTAAATAGTGTAAGAAACGGAAATGGGGGGTAGGTGAGACAATTCTAAGCAACAATTTCCTTTGCAAAAATGTCGGATGGGGCTTCGTTTTTGAATTATTAACGAAAAACACTGACCAATCACGGCGCTCGCCTTCCGCGCGCTCAGGGCCGTCCGACCTCGGAGAGCCACCGCGCCGGGTAGGTAGCAAGATGCGCGTTGAAAATACATCGAGGAACGAGTACAAATAATTAAAAATACTACCACTGCAACTGTTACCTAATTCGTGAATTACTACGTAATTAGTACGTAAATTACTAAATGGAATTTACTTTTTATTAATTATTTGTATTCGCTGTTTCCAAGGAAGAAGGAATAAAATCTCGGAATTTTTAGAAAATTAACCCTTCGCACCCGAGTGACGCTTCTCGCCAGAGTGTTTTAAAATTAAAATAAGAATTATTATCAGAAAATTAAAATAAATACGGTAAGAACCATTTGTAACCGTTTGTTATTAAAAACTGCACTGAAAAAGCAGACTGGATTTCTGCGTACCGAAACATTCCTCGAATGCAAAGGGTTAATAGAGAAATAATTGAAATTCGACTTACCCATTCATCTGCAAGTTGACCTACTGCGCTGACAATAGGGCCCGGCCAATGCACCGCTGTCGATCACGGCAAGGTCGAAGACCCGAACGAAAAACAGCTGATGGGCCAGCCCGGCCACTGTACCTGCTTCTCACCCCGAAAACACTTCACAGCACGGTCACTAACAATTTTCACTTTCACTTTTCACTTTCGCATACCGATGCGTTCCGTTGCACCCTTTTTCGATTGTTGCTTCTTCCTGGGTTGATAACGGTGCCTGGATGTTGCTCCCTCCTGAATTGTTACTCCTTCCTGAATTGTTGTTGCTCCCTGAATTGTTGTTCCTTCCTGAATTGTTGTTCCTTCCTGGATTGTTGCTTCTTCGAACCTTGCTCCCTTCAGGATTGTTGTTCCTTTTCGCTGGGATAATGGGCACGATACGTGCGGGCTGCTTTCTTCGCGTTCCCCTTGGACTCCGCGAAATTGAAGAACGTATGATAATACTCTGCGTTTACGCGTTCCATCGCGTGCGTCCGCTTCTGATCAGAAACGCGTAGGTTCTGTGAAAAATTTTGACTGACAAATTGCAATTTCCCTCCCCGAAAAAGTTCCAGGTAAGGCAACCTATTGTCGCGCGATTCGGAATTACCTGCGATCGGCGAACGTGCAGACCATGCTTTTGCCGTGTATCGCACAAAGTCAAACGTCTCTTCGGCTAATTGACCCTGGCGGAGTTATTTTTTTATTACTGCAAAACTGCCGCAAATGTTTGCTGCTAACCGTGCGTTCGACTCTTCTATTCGAATTTTTATGATTCACCGTGAATATTTTTGTACACAAAACATATTTAATTGTACAACAAAAATATTTAACGAAAATATTAAAAAATATTTCTTCTTGGAATTTTTATTTCAGAAATAAAAACTAGAAGAAATATTATTTAATATTTTTGTTAAATATTTTTGTTTTTTGTTGCTCCAATATTTTTTATTATCGCATATTATCTATTATGTAACTGCCTCCTTCTTTGTGGATTATTTTTTATAAACAATACCTTTTTATTTTATACTCTTAAAATTTAAAAGCATGGAATTTTTCATGGTATATTCTTCTTTCTTTTTTACAACAAATTTTCCATGAAAAAATATTCACGGTGAATCATAAAAATTCGAATAGAAGAGTCGAACGCACGGTTAGCAGCAAACATTTGCGGCAGTTTTGCAGTAATAAAAAAATAACTCCGCCAGGGTCAACTAGCCGAAGAGACGTTTGACTTTGTGCGATACACGGCAAAAGCATGGTCTGCACGTTCGCCGATCGCAGGTAATTCCGAATCGCGCGACAATAGGTTGCCTTACCTGGAACTTTTTCGGGGAGGGAAATGCAATTTGTCAGTCAAAATTTTTCACAGAACCTACGCGTTTCTGAACAGAAGCGGACGCACGCGATGGAACGCGTAAACGCAGAGTATTATCATACGTTCTTCGTTTTCGCGGACTCCAAGGGGAACGCGAAGAAAGCCGCCCGCACGTATCGCGCCCATTATCCCAGCGAAAAGGAACAACAATCCTGAAGGGAGCAAGGTTCGAAGAAGCAACAATCCAGGAAGGAACAACAATTCAGGGAGCAACAACAATTCAGGAAGGAGTAACAATTCAGGAGGGAGCAACATCCAGGCACCGTTATCAACCCAGGAAGAAGCAACAATCGAAGAAGGGTGCAACGGAACGCATCGGTATGCGAAAGTGAAAAGTGAAAGTGAAAATTGTTAGTGACCGTGCTGTGAAGTGTTTTCGGGGTGAGAAGCAGGTACAGTGGCCGGGCTGGCCCATCAGCTGTTTTTCGTTCGGGTCTTCGACCTTGCCGTGATCGACAGCGGTGCATTGGCCGGGCCCTATTGTCAGCGCAGTAGGTCAACTTGCAGATGAATGGGTAAGTCGAATTTCAATTATTTCTCTATTAACCCTTTGCATTCGAGGAATGTTTCGGTACGCAGAAATCCAGTCTGCTTTTTCAGTACAGTTTTTAATAACAAACGGTTACAAATGGTTCTTACCGTATTTATTTTAATTTTCTGATAATAATTCTTATTTTAATTTTAAAACACTCTGGCGAGAAGCGTCACTCGGGTGCGAAGGGTTAATTTTCTAAAAATTCCGAGATTTTATTCCTTCTTCCTTGGAAACAGCGAATACAAATAATTAATAAAAAGTAAATTCCATTTAGTAATTTACGTACTAATTACGTAGTAATTCACGAATTAGGTAACAGTTGCAGTGGTAGTATTTTTAATTATTTGTACTCGTTCCTCGATGTATTTTCAACGCGCATCTTGCTACCTACCCGGCGCGGTGGCTCTCCGAGGTCGGACGGCCCTGAGCGCGCGGAAGGCGAGCGCCGTGATTGGTCAGTGTTTTTCGTTAATAATTCAAAAACGAAGCCCCATCCGACATTTTTGCAAAGGAAATTGTTGCTTAGAATTGTCTCACCTACCCCCCATTTCCGTTTCTTACACTATTTACGGGACACCCTGTATAAGAAACATGTTCGTTGTAACTGCAGGTACAGCTCGTTTAACAAACGTTCGGAGCCAGAAGGGGATGATCCCTGGAGTTGCGTGGTGTCCGTGTCGGATCGAAGCGGCGTCCCACGTCCTCGAAGTAGCGAATCTCGGAAGGATCCAATAAATCACCGCGGTTCTAGCGATCTAGCGAGCAGGGATCAGCGTGTGGAGAGCAGGCAACCGACTCAGGATGGCACAGGACAGGCGTCGGGCCCGCGACAAGAGTCCTCGAGACAAACCAGCGAAGACATGTCCTGGGAGTTTACGATAAACGAGGCGCCGATCGCGAGATTAGAGTCCTTGGATGAGCTCGATCAGGATCATGGTAGTTAAGACCAAGGTTTCGCTTCGTTTTGAAGTAATTTCGGCTCGCTTGCGACTGAAACGCGAGAGCGTCGTCGAGCAGACGACTCAACTCGATGACCAATGATCATTCGGATGGCTGTGGACTCCTTCCGTTTCCTTTTCGAAGGATCTAGTCAGTGTGGCGCTAGGATACGTAACGCGCCAGGCGCTCGATTTTTTTCTAGAGATCCTGTAATCGAACTGTCAAAAAGGTATACAAATTTTTTTATTATAAAAACCAATTTTGATACTCGAAACACAAGCAATTTGTTTCTAAGATTTTCTATCGGAAACATCAGCACCTATGGTACTTTAGCGAATTTCGAACTTTATTCGAAACGATGGTTTCAAATGCGTCGCGATATTGTGTTATTGTTCGTGGCAACTTTTGTCCAATTTTGTCATTAATTTATTTTTCTACTTGTATTAAAACCGTGTGTTTAATATTTTAAGTAGACTTACTTGAATTCAAGTGTCACCTTTCTTTCAGCTTCTTTTTAATACACTGTGTTACTAATTGCGGAATAACGTGAAAATTAGTGACTTCAGTACTTTATTATGATAATAATTTATAGAAAATACGGTCGAAGAATTCGTAACTGCTAAATTATCGGTTCTGGATGAGAAATAATTGTACATTGTTTTTTTTTTAATGTTTCGATCAACTGCCGAAGGATCGTTAGAAAAAAATCGATCGGCAGGCGTTCAACGATATCGACGTGGTACATGCGAGACGTAAGCTTAAGGAGCGAAAAGACATGAGAAAAGAGAGTGTGAATAGAGAGCACGAGCAGCGTTGCAGAATAAAACGAAAGTTCAATACACACAAATACACACAGTTCCGTAACATCATCTCTTAATCCGACCGCAGAAGCGAGAAATTGCCTTCGAGGTTTCTACTCTCGTATCGATGTTATTTCCTCCGAGCAATTTTGTAATTGAATTACTGATATACACGTATCTACACACAAACAAAAAACACACGCGTATATATTTATATGTATATATATATATATATATATACATATATTCCCATCGAAGGAGCGTGAAACGTGTGATCTTTTCGTTTCTGGATAATGAAAGCTTTCGTAGGTCGATGTTGCGAACGATTTTCGCGGGAAAAATAATGTAGACGCGACATATAGTGGGGATTTATAATAAAATAATGAAAGTACAAGACGGCGGAAGATCGACTTTCGTGAAATTAAAAATAAAAGTAAAAAAAAATAGAAAAGTTACGGCGAGTGGGGAGAAAGCGGAGCTCGTGGAATTTCTCGAATTTTTCGGAGTCCTTTGCATCACGGTGAAAACGCGTAGTTATTGAAAAATTAAAATATATTGACTGAGAGAGCACCTTTTTTTAATGCTTATAGGCGACGTTTAAAATCGAAATAAAGAAAAAATTTAACGAGGAGGAGACTAAAGAAATGTAAAAGTTTATCGGAGCGTACGATGGCATACATTAAATAACGTTGCGACTTTCGAGAGATCATACGTGTAAGTTCAGCAAGGGCATTGTCTGTGAATGAAAATGTTAAACAACTCCAAAAAAAAGAAAAACAAGAAACATTTAAACACGAGAAACAATTCTGAGTGCCACCTACGAGCAAAACTGGAATGTCCTTTATACAGACAAAGAAACAATTAACGAGAAAATATGAGGCTAGGGAGAAATGGAAGATTATTCAGAAGAGAATTTAGATACTTACTAATATTCTTACTATTATTATTGTTATTATTATTATTATATTATATTATTATTGCCATAAAGTAGGGAAGAAACGCAAGCGCGATGGAGAGGAGGCGGAAAAAATATAATATCGACGGTATAAAATCGTAAAAATGAAAAAAAAGAGTAACAATTGCCTGCGCAATAATGATATATAAATAATTATACATATTATATATACATATATATATATAAATATGTGCGTGTGTACGTATATACATTCGCGCGTGTGTATTCGTATACACGTAAAAATTTTTTACGAAATATCTCGAATGAATTATTGCTCTTAAGCATACATACGTTGATTTCTCTTCCTCTCTTTTCGTTCTCGACCTCCCAAGTTTACTTTTTCACCCCCCTACCCGCGATTTATCACACAGTGATGAGGGTGAAAAGAGCTGATCGATGATCCCTTGAATAATCTCTGGAATGGTTCTGTTAACCGCTTCGATCTTCGATATCACATTTTTTATTCGTTTATAAGTCAGTTTAGGTTGTTTTCACGAAGCTATTTAGGCGATATTTACTCTATTCAATTTTATAGGATCTCTTATGATACGTGTTTACTGGAAATCGATTTCGAGTTATTTGAGATACGTCGTAAATTGCATTCATATTTCAGTAACCAACAATCAAAGTCAAATATCAGTTTGAATCGATAGCAATTTTACCACGGAATATATATATATATTGATAGAAAAATCATTAATGTTCAAAGTCGGGTAAGTCTTTGGAATCAAACGTCTAAGTTACCAATGATCGAAATCTCCAGAGTAGAAATTTAAATAATCAGTAATTAAACGTCAGAATTACGCGTGCGTTACCAACAATGAGAAACGTATGAAAAATTGTCGTGCAAAAAAGAAATACGGAAGTAAACGAAAGAGTAAATCGATAAAAGAAACGTAAGACGAATCAACGTGATTGAAAGAAGCGTGGAAGAGCTTGATCAAGGATCATCGGTCACCGATCTATTCGTTCTTTGCTCAGTATTTTAGGCTGTAAATGATACCGATACATTCGATGTAATGATTAAATGACTCGTAATTACTTTGTAACGAGAAGAGCAGCGGCGCAGCGCTAATGAGAAGCAGCTTTTTAATTACATATAGATGATTATCTTTGATTATTACTTACCAGTAGTACACGCAGCACACGTGGATTTTCGCACCTAGGTATACGGCGAAACGATACGGTTTTATTGTTCTTTAAAACGAATATTCAATATGGTCCAGAGGGGGGGGGGGGCAGCAGTGGTCGAACAATACGTCACATATGACTTTTGCATTCGTTGTTTCTTAAATTCAATTAAATAAAATTGTTTTCTGGCTATAATATTTAGGTGTCGAACAATTTTGTTCAAATACAAATAATTATTTTATTATAAATTTCATTATAAAAATAATGCAAAAACTGGCAGAGTAAAGTTCTAGATTTTTCAAATTCATTTTCTATTTGAATAAAATATTTACGTTTGTAGTATCAATATCACTGCTACCCTCGAATTCCGCTCTACAGACGTATCGACGAAGATGTGACGAGAGCGAAATACATAATACTTTCATTGATGAAGGAGTATCACGATAGTTTTCAATATATCCGCTATTGATAATTATTTACTTTAACGATTCCACACCAATTTCGATGACCTTGAAATATGTTATCAAGGTCGCTGTTATGAAGATTTTTTCTCTATACATATAACTGCCACTCGGCCTTAGTTTCTGCGATTTTTCTTCAAAAAGATCGCTACTACTAAAATGAATTCTGTCTATAGGTACGTGACTGTGGCAGCGTGTGTGCAAGCGTTGATTTGCCGATTGTTTATTGTTTCTATAGATACATCGAGGCGGCCGGCAATGGATGCGTATAACGGATGTGCTTAAAAACTCGATGTGAGTAGACGGCCGCCTGGTGGTGGCCGGCGTGAAAACATTTTACCCAAACCTTACTTAAACCTAACTATTCTACCTAGTAATTAATATAATGGTTTAGGTTAGAGTTTCTTATACCGGTCGCCGCAAGGCGGCCGGCCACGCATTCATTTTCTATTTCAATTTTCTTTATTAATATTATCCGATATTAGCTTGACATAGTATACATTATTTGTCGTTGGTCGTCATGATTTCAATACAAGACTACCTGCATTTTTTGATATAATGGCAGATATTTTTCCAATTTTTGTCAATAATAACGACAATAATAATAATAATATTAAAGAATGAAGTTTAATATTTTATCTCCAACTTAACCCGAGGCTAATTCAGACATAAAATTATTTTTGCAAATATCTCGGCGGTAACATGTATAAAGAAAAAATCTTCATAACAGACCTTGACAACATATTTCAAGGTCATCGGAATTAGTGTGGAATCGCTAAAGTAAATAATTACCCCGGTATTTTGTTCTGCCCACGGGAGATTCAGAATCGAGAGAATGGATAAAAGCAGAAACCCATCTATGAATTTATTTCTTTACCTTTTGACCGATTTCGAGCAGAATTATCTACGAAATGAACGTACCATTTGCCATTTTTTCAAATAAAAGTAAACGAATCTCTTTAAATGAGAATATAATTTCCATTAATTACATTAAATATGTCATAGATTCATGATTTTAACATTTAGGAATGGGTCGCTTCCAATGAACAGTAGAAACATTACACACACATATGAATGAAAATACTATTATGCTTGTTTTAATTATATTTTAATTTAATGTATCGTTAAATACGCATTCAAAAAATTAATTTCTGCTAATTTATGGCGACGAATTTCTAAAGAATATCCTGATGGACGTCCAAAACGACAAAAGTATGTAGTTTAGTATATGCAGACGTCGTTCGCAAAGCATTAATAATTAACGTAGGACAACTTCTGTTTCGTAACAGAAAAATAATCTCCGTGTCATATTAATTATATACGTATGTATTTACTGAAAAAACTACTGTGGAATCATGATCGAAATCGAGCAGAAGGTGACTTTTCTGAGTTCGTAATCGGGTTCTTTAAAAAACTATCGGTCTTTTCTCGATGTTCAATGAAGTCCAATTGTTCCGACATTGGTGCGAAATATTGTTAGATTCGGCATTGATTTTCTAAAAAAATCACTGTCAGCGACTCTATCGTGTTGATAATTGCTCGCGTGCTCTTCGTCCATAGTCGTTTTCAGCGAGCGAGAGCGAACGTTTCTTGGGCCGCAAAGTCCTCGCACGAATGACTTCGGGTATCTCGATTAACATTTCCGAGACGAACGTAAAAAAAACGAAATAACGCCTATACACAACTGTCATTGATGATATGTACATACATACATACATGCATATATATATGTATACATATATATATATACATATGTATCCGTTTTTTGTTTTTAATCGAAGCTGCCTCTCGCTTTTGAATTCTATCGCAGCTGAATCGAGGAAGGAAGGGAGATGGGAATGGGAAAAATGATCGAGACGTTCGAAAGGATGTTGTTCGAGGTAGATTCGTGCCAGGACCGAGATTAAGTCGTCACGACCAGGCTGTGTGACGAAATTTCGTTAGGGGTGCACCTCGATGAACTAGTGAAATTGGTCGAGAATTGTGTCACACTTCGTACAAACATTGATTAGCATACTTATACTATCATGCAATATTACAATCTACTACGACATGGAACTTGACAAATTTTTAATTCACCGGAAGATTAGCTATTGAGAATACCCCAAAAAACTAAGATTCCATTTAATTTTTTCTTGATTAGAAACAGTAGAGCTTATAAATTTATCATTGTACAATTTTTTGATAAATTCAAAGGAATGTACCTTCGACATTTACTTCTTTGTTTAAAATTTATTTAACACATTATGTTTAATATTTACTAGTGAGGGGTATATCAAAAAAATTAGAAACCAATAATGATGGCCATTATTATTCGATCTTGTTCAAAATCTAATCATATCTTGAGTCGAGAATATCAAATATAAATCTAAATTTTATTCGAATGAATTCAAAAAATAGTTTCTTATTTAATTGTCAAAATTTTATTATAGTAGCTTCCTTATACATAGTAGGTATATAGGCATATAGAACCACCCCTTAATGTTTCTGGCACTCTATATATTGCTTATGCATTTATCATTGTACAATTTTTTGATAAATTCAAAGGAATGTACGTTCGACGTATTGAAAAGGCAATGTAATAACAAGATCAGTCGAATAATTAATAATTCAGAAAGTATATGACATAAGATGGAGTTGCAAAGGATCGCACGAGAGATCGAGGATCGCCCTTGCGGAATGCGTCTTTCGTTTGTAAAGAAATGAAGCGAATCAATAATATTAAGAAAAGGACGATGGAGGAAAAGAAATTAAAATCCTATCCGCGGTAGATGAACTTACTCGCGTTTTTTCCCAGATTACGCAATTTAAGATTGTTCTGTATATATACATATATGACATACTCTTGGATCGTATCGATTATAACGGTGAGCGCACTGATTTGTAACACATAACAAGAAAATTTTTCGAGAAAAACAGAGGGAGAGAGAGAGAGAAAGGGGGAGAGAAAGAGAAAGAAAGAGAGAAAGTAAGAGAGAGAGATAGAGAGATTTGTGTGTGGATGTGTGTGTATGGGCGTGAGTGTGTGAAGAGAGTAAAGCGAAAGGAAAAGCGAGAATGTGAAAATGAACGAAAGGGAATGAACGAGGAACGGGAGCGTGACGTGAATGTGTGCGTACGTACGTGTATACGTGTATGTGTATGTGTGAGTGGGAAGGAGAGACAGAATCAAGCACGAGAAGAAAAGATTTTTGTACCACCCCCGTAATCAATTCCTGCTCTTCACCGAGCACCTTACGATTAAAGAAAATCACACGAACGTTTTTATTCTTACCCACGTTTAGAAAGAAATTCTTTAGAAAAAGATTTATCCGAGAAACGGAACGAATTCGCTCTGAAAGATAAAATCGCCACGAATTTTTTACAGCATAGCTCAATAAAAACGTTGGCATTCAACAACCGTGTTTTTTTTATATATCAGTGTATTACAACCGTACCGATCAAATTTAATTCTTTTCTTCTTTGTTT